AAATATGCCTTCATTTTCTGTTTCTTCTGCATTGAGCCCAGCAATGGGACTAATGAACTGGTTTGTGAATCAGAACACCTGTGTTCAATCATGCCCGTCAAGGCCCAGTCAGGTGATCTCAGGCCTGCATAACCTTTCTGTGCCTCAGGTGCCTCACACAGAAGACAGGTGATGCTGTCTGCTTCATTTTGTGGTCATCCAGGAAATGTGTACTGGGGGTCTACAAGGCATCTGCAGCATTAAGCTCCCATCCAAATCCCGGGACACATTTGTACACACCACTGGCCATCAGAAGGGCAAATGATGAGCAAAACCAGGTGCTGATCTGCAGAGCCACAGGAAGACTCCAAAGCAGAGCAGCAGCCTCAAGACAGTAGTGATGAGCAGGGCCTGAGAATCATTACCTCACTGTCTTGAAGGGCAGGGTAGATCAGACTTCCTGGCAGAGGTGGCCTTTGAAATGAGGTTGAGGTGTTGGAGCCCTGGGTCAGCACTGGGAGTCACAGAAAGGCTTTGTGCTCTATAACAGCCAGGGCTCTGTCAGGAGTTGTGGGTGAAGAACTGGAAGGCACTCTGCCTGTAAACCCTGCCCCATCTGTGCTACCACTATCCAGTCATTGTGCCAGCTTCGAAGTGAGGGGGACTTTTATTTTTGCCAAGAATGAGAGACAGACTCAAAAATCAACTTCTCAAGCCTTAGGTGTCGGGATGTTATAGCTATGTAATAAACGTGAGGAGCTGAGTGCCAAGGTCCGCGCCTACAATCCTACCACTCGGAGAGTTAGAGGCCAACCTGCACTGTGTTAGATATCTAGAAGCAGGCCAGCCTGGACTCCCTGGCCAGACTATCTCAAGGAGGGAAAATGAAGATGGGAGGGCCAAATAATAAAACAGAAGCATTCATTTTTTTCTGGGGTTTCTGGAAATTTTCCAGGAATTTGGGTGTCTCTTCATTCCTTTTGTGATTCTTGACAATTATTAACAGCCAGGAGATAGGAGGTATTGTTTAGCCTGCAGATGGGATTATAATGAAGATAGAGCTTCATTGTATCTTAAATTAGCTTAGATCTATCCAGTTTCAGCTGGCCCACCAGAAAAGGTACTTTGGCCTTTAGAGACCCAGCTCTCGGAAAGGGTTAGGGAGAGGTGGATATTTAGCTAGGCCACTGACTCAGGGTAACATGAGAAAACTAAAGAGAGCTCAACTTCAAGAAGCTGGAGAGAATGAAATAATAAATAACATCAGGGACCTGGGATATAGCTGGGTTGGTACAGTGCTTGCCTAGCATGCACAAGGCACTGACTGGTTCAGTCTCCAGGACCATATAAATGGTCATGAAGATGCACACCTATAATCCCAGCATATAGGAGTAGAGGCAGGAGGATCAAAAGTTCAATCCTTGGCTACATAACTAATGTGAGGGGTGGGGCCCTGTCTTAAAAAACATGGTTTGCAGGGCTCATAGGGATTCAGAGACTAAACTGACAATCAGGGAGCCTGTATGGGCCTAGGTTCTCTGCATATATATTATGGTTATGTAGCTTGATTTTCTTTGAGTCCTAAGGATGGGAATGGGGGCTATCTCTGACTTTGCCTGTTTTGGGGACCCCTATCCTCCTACTGGGTTGCCTCATCCAGCCTTAACATGAAGGGATGTGTCTAGTTTTATTACAACTTGATATTTCCTTTTGGTTGACATCCCTGGAGGCATGCTCTTTTTCTGAAGGGAAAGGGAGGAGGGGTGGATCTGGGGGAGAGGGGAGGTGGGAGAGGGATGGGGAGGAGAGGAGGAAAGGACATCTGGTCAGGATGTAATATATGAGAGAAAAAAAAATGTTATG